ACCTGCCAAAAGCTACCACCGGCCAAGAACATTAACAGAAGTCCTGTGAATAATAATTTCAAATAATGGATTAATTAGAGGGAATTGTGAGCTGCTTGCAAATGTCCTGCAGGCAGTAAAATGGAGCTAAGCCTTCCAGCTACACAATTCATCGCATGCCACTGGGTTCTACAAGAGAAAAAGGGCGTCATTCTTCTCATCTACTGATTTTAGAGCCCAGTCCCAGTTAGATTTAACTCAGCAAAACCTGCTTCTTTTCCTTTGGAAAGGAAATTGAAAACCAAATTTTGATAATAGCTAGTGATCAGAGTATGAGCACTAGATGACTGCTCCGACCTCCTACACATCGCAGGTGATCCCATTTCCATGAAGGCACTTCCATTTTCAAACAGGGAGAGCCCCAGGACTTCAGTTATGTACCTCCTGGGTCCACCACCCTTGCAGAAGACTCTTTGAAGGAGACATGACACAACGCTCACTCCTCAAGGCAAGAAAAATAAAGCAAGAAGTCCCACAAAAGACAAAAACATCTCATCCAATCTGGGACAACCCCAACCTACCATAAATGTGATCCTGGTTGCATCAATATTAATGAAAAATAATAAAAAAAAATTGTATCACAGTTGCTGAGTAAGTCCCAGAGTAACGTGCAGTTGGTATCTAACTCTGGCCAGACCCGAACCAGCATTTTGAGGACAGAAGGGCTGTAATTTGGTCACTCCACACAATGCCCAAGGGTGACTAAGGTCCCCTGGGAGCTTCATCCCTTTCATTATTTGTCCTGCATTGCTGTTTGGGGGGTGCAAACAGCCGCCCAAGAAGCACCCTGCACATCACAGGAACGGTGTGTGGCTCGGGGATTGAAAAATACTGGTTCCACAGCTGAAGCACGGTGCAGGTGTCCCATCACCCACAGCACACAAGGGGAAAGCTGGAAAAGAAAGAAGGGACTCTACACTGAGATCCACACCCTGGGGGATCTCTGGTGCCCAAGGTGGCACCCGGGGCAACCAGGAATTCATGTAGCTCCCCAGCAGGAATATAAGAGCTGGGAACCAAAATCAGAGCTGTGAAGGATTCATGGAACCAAAGCAGCCGCTCGTGATCACCTGAGAAGCAGTGGGCATCTTCCCACCCGTGGCCCTGCTGGTGCCAGCACGGCAGGCGTAAAGGGAAGAGATATGAGGGGAGGAGGAGGAGGGAGCGTGGGACAGGGTCTCACTGAGAACTAGAGAAAAAGCTGACATTACTCCCTTAGTTTTGGATGAACCTAACAGTTTGGACTTCGGGAATAATCAAGAGTCTGTTTGCTAGTGAAGTTTTTCATTCCCAGCAGTTCCACGGCAAGTTTGAGGGGGATTATATATTTATGGTTTCCCATTTGAAAGACTTTTAGCAGGTTTACCTGGAACATATGGATCCTATTTTGGTTCTTTTGTTTTAGCACTTAATGCTTATGAAATTGCTAGTTAATGACATCCATGCCTAAAACCATGTTGCTTTTTAAAGTAAAACGTCTAGCAAAGGGCCATGTTCATACTTACCACTTCTCGAGTACGGCAATGAAAGTTTTAAGAGCCTCGTTACCTACTGTGTCTGGGGGAGGGAACCGACCCAATAATGAAATTATAAACGGGGGGTTAGATTAAAGCCTTGCAAGCCCTGCCCGGTGCTGGGTCTCGAGGCAGAGCCACCCCACCGACACCAGTGGGGCACCCCGGGGGTGGGAGCCGTGGGGGGGGGACACACCAGGGTGATGCTCAGCCAGAGAGTGTGTCCCCTCTGTCCTCACCCCGGCTTCTGGCTGACCTGGAGCTGCGGGGGGGTAACGGGGCACCTTTGATACCGCCCGGACGGGGAGACCCCGGGGCACCCACTGCCCGGAGGGACACCCACCGCCCGGGGGGACACCCACCGCCCGGGGGGACACCCAGGGCCGGGGGGACACCCACTGCCCGGGGGGACACCCACCCCCCGGAGGGACACCCACCCGCTTGAAGGGACACCCAACCCGGCTGGGGAGACCCCCGGGGCACCCACCACTTTGAAGGGACACCCACCGCCCGGGGGGGCACCCAGGGCCCGGGGGACACCCACCGCCCGGGGGGACACCCACCCGCTTGAAGGGATACCCACCCGCTGGGGGACACCCACCGCCCGGGGGGACACCCAGGACACGGAGGGCAGCGCGGAGCGTGTCGCCCACGTTTACCGGTCTCCGCTAATCACCCTGAGCCTTTAATTGCGCTGCACGTGAGGACGAAGCCCCTGTGACTTCAAAAGAGCGTGGGAAAGGCTGATTAAAAGGCTTTTCTCCCCCGTTGGGATCCACACCTTCTTTGAAGCCCTTCCAAGCGACAAGGCAAACGCACCCACCGCCAAAGGACCGTATCTATATTTTAAGTGACTTTAATTTCTCTTTTTTTCCCCCCTCTCGCTCTCTTCCCGCCCTCCTCTCCTTTCAGTTTTGGAAACACCTGGTAAGTTGTAAAATGATTTACGAAGTGAAAGTGTTAAATGAGGCCACCAGCTGTAAGACTGACAGAGCTTTATGAGTTTTATTAGGTGCCCTATTATGGAAAATAAACTTTAATCCGTCCATAAAAACAGAATCTGAAAAACATATTTGCCCTTGTAGTCTGGAACACTGAAGGTATTCTTGTGAGACGCTGGGCTTTAAAGAGATTAATTTTATTGAGACAGACACAATACACCGGTAGGACTTTGATACAGAGGCGGTGACTGTGCCCGGACCCCGCAAGGCTGTTTCTCAGAGGGTGAGACACGTTTGGACACACACCACTTGGGCCCACGTTCGCCAGCTTAATTAGCTGGTATTTAATTGAAAATTAACGATTGAGGGAGTATCTTTTTTTTTTTTTTCGCTCTCAGGTAGCTCTTGATTTTTTATTATTATTTTATTTATTGTTAATATATTTTTTTTAAGATAACGATGCGTCCTCCAGATTGATGCCGTTTCGATATTTTTAAGGTGTGAACAGGGAGTTTTAAATCCTGCGGGAAATAGCTCGGAGGCTCCGCCGGGGGTTGCGCGGAGGAGCCCCCGCGGAGCTGCGCGCCCCTTGCGCGGCCCTTCACCAGCCGTGGAAACCGGGGAAGCGAGTGATGCTGCCGTTTCTCGAGCGCCTTAAATTCCCTGCAACCTCTGGCCGAAAGGAAATGGGTTACAAACTTAAATCAGAGCCTCGGACATGACTTTTTTTTTTTTTTTTTTTTTTTTTTTTTGGT